CCAGAGCCCGGGTTTGGTTTTCTCTGGGTGTGCTGATGAGACCTAGGCGAGGTTGAAACTGCAGTCCAGCCTGGACAAAAATTCCTTTTTGGACACCTACTCATAAGGCCTACTCATCTAATCGTGGGAAAATTCATATATCATTCCTTCGTCTTCTTAGGCCGCCTAAGTTGTCCTCACGTGTTGTTTAAGACTTAATGATATTCTTGAAAATCTATTTTATTTGAATATTTGTAAATATGCTTTTTTTCGAAAAAAACCTTAGAGGGTTAGGCAGAGAAGTATAAATGATTTTTAATTCAACTTAAAAATATAACGGCTCTTATGACAGATTAATGATAGATTGTTTTGGTCCTTACATCCGGTGATTTTCGTTGATTCCCTTCCTCACTCAAGCCAAGACCCATGCAGATTAAATATGCATCCTTCTGGTAGTCTCGATTACCTATCATTAAGTAAGGTTGTTATTCACTTACCATGACAAAAGGGAAGCTAATAATAAAGTAGAATAATAATTGCTTATTTCGTTTGAGGTGATAAGGGGACTGATAGTTGAATTTTCCCACAATGATATGAGTAGACCTGATGTTTCCATTTAATTTTACATAGCCTTGCTTTCTCAGGAGGTATTCTCGTCCAGAATGGACTGCAGTTGAGAGGCAAGGCTATGTGAACTTCAATAGAAACGTCAGATCAACTCATATCACTGTGGGAAAATTCAACTACCAGTCCCTACCCTAAACAAAATCAGATGAATACATCTCATATGTATCAACTACTGATAGTCTCGAAAGCGAAAAATAATTGCTGATGGCTGTACATGTTAAATGTTTGGCTAGATTGTGATAAATACTTGTATTAGAATACATTTCATATTTTTGTAGTAAATTGCATTTTCCTCTCCTTTATCTATATTCTTACCTGTCTGCAGCGTGTTCGTCGCCTCCTTCACACAGCTACAACACAGGGCCTGCCCTCGTTTCCTCTTGGTGGACTTGCTTTTACCCTGGTGGAGGCTCAGATACACATGTCACACCAGCTACTCGTCTCCTTCGGTCTTTTCTCAAGCGCCCTCATCCTGGCCGGGCTAGCGCTCCTGCCAAGACCATCTGTTCTCCTCGTTGCCGTCACCATCTCTTCCTTGTCTGCTGCAGCCGCTGGCCTCATTGGACTCCGTCTACTTGCCTGGCTTTTCTATCGTCAGCCAACTTATACTCGTAGCGCTGGCTGGCCGGATGCAGCAAAGGAGTCTACAACACAAGGCTCTGCAGAGTACGGATGTGAAGGAACTGACTTGGAGACAGCTCTTGCCTGGAACCCCGTTTCGGCCAGTTTCCTACTCCTACTGGCAGGCTTGGCGGCCAGGTCGGCTGGAGGTTTGGCTTCGTTTTGTCGGCCATCGAGAGCTCAAACAGTTCCTCCCAGCGGTCGACACCATTATGACGCCCTGCAGACAAGTCCTCCTGACCCTCCTGAACAGGCCCGGCTATCTCCTATAGGTTCCCTTAAACTGAAAGGCATTACGCCAACGAAACGCAAGACCTCTATCTTCACAGCTATTTGGAGGCGGAGAAGCTGGTGTGCAAGCGCTGGTTCTTCTGTTCGAATTCTCTCGGGTGGTAATTCGCAACTCATCAGCTCAGGCAAATATGATCGTCTGACAAACTTGGTTGCAGGGCAAATTAGGGTCACACTTCACGCATCTGGCTGTCTTATCCTCTCTGTTAGTCTACTCCTCACCTCTAACGTCGACTTTGTTGCAGAGTAAGCCAATTTTTTTGGGTTCACTATTTTTATATTTATTGTCTCATCGCCTCCAGCAGTTAGGGACTGTAGTGTTATAATCATTTACGGGTTGTTTAAAATAAGGCATCATTTTTCAAAACGGGTTGTTGGTCATCACACTTTGTTATTATAATTATGTATCCACATTCTCGGAGCTCAACAAAAAAATTCTTATGATCTCTTCAATGAAAGCATGACTAACGATGGTCTTGAGCCCAGCCTGAAGGAAGAATACAACAGTAGACTATGATTGGTTATACATCTTGTAACCGTATCTTGAGGTGAGAACATCTTGATTACTACTGCTAGATTTTTGCAATCGGAGATGACTGGTGATTGCGACCTCCTCCAGATCCCTAGTTAAGCATATCTCTATCAATTTTGAGGATAAAACTGCCTACACTATCAGCCGAAAATCTTTCGCAACCTTTGGTCTATATATATATAAACTTGTGTTCTTTTCCCTTAACCTTTTACGAACCCTGGAAATGAAGGCCGAAGTGCATTTCTACTGATCCAAATCCTTAAAAGAGGCCCTAAGAGCTTTAGTAGTCGTGATGAATAACTAGACTATTACAAATCTTGTAGATTAGGCATCATCAGGGTTGAGTTGACAAGGGCTAGATATTTAAGTTCTTGTATTTGTAAGACTTGACATTTTAATTTGAGAATATTTTTAATAGCCCAAACAAAATTGTAGAAAGATTCTAGCGCCCCTCCCTCTT